GCCAATCTAACAGGTGTTCTACCTTACAGGGGTCGATCTTAATACCTTCTCCAGATATATGTTAGCCTAAGAGCTGTATTTCGCTCATTGCGAAGTGACATTTCTTCTCGTTAATCTTGAAGTTTTGCTCGTTGAGTCTCTTAAGGACTCGTCTGACTAATGCGGCGTGTTCGCCCTTAGTCTTAGAAAAGATGACTCTGTGATCTATATAGACTTGCACGTTAGGCATGTCTGCAAACATTTCTTTCATTACTTGTTGGAAGAATACTGGTATAGAGTGTAACCCGAAAGGTGCACCTCTGAACCGGTATTGTTTACCTTTCCACATAAAGCTAAAGTATTTACGGTGGGGTTCATATACCTGCATTTGATGGTATCCTTGTGTAAGGTCTATAGTTGTAAATACTGTAGCACCTTCAATCCTTCGCAGTAGCTTGTTAATACGAGGTAAGGGAAAGCTATGAGTCGGCATTAATTTATTTATTGGACTCGTATCTAAACATACTCTGACTTTCTTAAACGATCTGTCAGAGTTATGTTGGTCTACGGCTAGCAACGCCAAGCCAACTGGCGTCTGTTGATAGTTAATTTCTATCACTCCATCTGCTAGCCATTTCTCAATTTGTTCTTTTACCACAGCCTCGTGTCTCCAGGATACATAGTTCCTTGAGGGACACTTTAACTGTGTAAAGTTTACCTTGGTTAAGTCAAGGCTGACATATTCGTCGTTAAAGCGGAATTTTGCCCAATCTGTGATCTTTATCTTCTGATTAACTAGAATCAGATCCATGATTTTGTTCGCAAAGTCAGGTATGAATGCCTTGACTGTGTCTGACGGGGGCTTATATGGATTCAGACAGTTATTGTCTGATTGATCCTTTAATGGATCTATGTTATTTGGTAGACCAGTTACTGTTATACCTAGAGTGAGTAAATCGCTCATTCCGACTATAATGTCGTACTTCTGTGACATCTTAACTATCCAGCTTGGGTAGTGATATTCCTATCATCGGCCAGGGAGATTTTAACATCTGTGGCCATGGTATCACACTTAGCAGTTTTATCATCAGCTAAAATGAGATGAGTTGTTTGTGTTCTCCTTTCAATATCTTTCATTAATGCAAAACGATCGGATATACATAAAATTTCTGAACCAGATCAATCAACGCAAGGATTTTATATCCATTGCAATATACAGGGATTATTCCACGCTCATCTACAGAGTCGTTGTACTGTCTGTGTAACGATTGTACCCGGTAGTATCGTCAGTCCAACTTAATGTTGGGCTTTCGGTCACAAGACTTAGTGTGATAACCATTGGTATTCTCACACTTGTCACACTTAGTAAGAAAGTGTGTACAGGTGGATGTATGTCTACCATTCCAATAACCGGTAGGGGTTAACTGGTACATGTCATACCCACACTGGGCGTCGGCACATTTCTTAATCTCCTTAAATGAAGGTTCCATGTCCTTCGCTCCTGCGCGTGCCCGTTTATTGGGTCGCGTGGTTAAAGTGGATTCGCGAGCACGTGTATATTGGGGTCTCTCGTTTGAGGTCTGCCTGGATACGTAACCGTGATCGGTGAGCTCCCTCGGCTTCTTAACAGCCGCCTTTCCCTTCGATGTTACTCGATGTGCGGAAAAAGAGTGGATATAGTATCATAAAATTGTTCCCATGTAAGTCGGGATAGATAAAACTTTGTTTCATGTCCCTTGTATCGAGCCTCAGTCGCGTGTTTACGTCGCAACTCGGTGTACAGACTCTCACGGTCGTTGTTCTCTATGTTCTTACAGAACACGTGCATAACCAGGAATTCGTACCATCGCTATGCCTTGTCCTTTGTTATATCGGGACGTTTTAGGTCAGCGTCTAACTTCAGAATATAACTATGAATGGGCGTGTTCTCGGCTGGTTCATTTAAAATTGAACTTAGCCCCGGGCTACGCATATTCTTACTTTACAAGAATGTGACCAACCAACACACAGCTGGCCAGTCACGACAAGTGTCTAGATCATGCTGGTGTCGCTTCAGGATCAGATAACTGGTACCTGTAGGGTCAAATGTCTGCATTAAGGCAGAGATCCATTGCTGGGGAGCGATATCATTCGTCTCCAGCATAACCATAAACGCATTAAGCGTACGAGTTAGCGTGTCGAGGTCATGGTCGCTTATAAACTCGACCTGCTTGCTGTTGGCATGCCAGTTCGACTTAAGTCGACTGATCTGTCCCTTGTACTTCTGGTTGTCCCTGTGGTCCTGTCTACGTTGGGCCTAAAGTTGTTGGTCTATGCGCTTTTACTTAATCGCAACAATATTCGCAAAGTATGCTACGTCATCAGCATGATGCGCAGTATGGGCGACGTCTATTTTATTGGTATAGTCGTCGACCGATTTATTAGGGTCGGTCACCTCGTCAGAGTGAAGATCCTCTGCGGGTTGGTGTAAAGCCGTGCGGTCGAAGCGATTAAATTCTACATCGTTCACACGTCTGCGGGGATGATTAATATCCCTTGGCGTCGGAATAACATACCCAGTCATAACTGGTTTCCGACGATTATCCTCCCAATGGGGTACAAGTGGCGGAGTATATCTCCTTTCCTCTCGGTCTATAATACCTTTGAGGACAGATGGCTCACGGCCGGGTGCCAGAACTTACCTATCGGTCTATAATACCTTTGAGGACAGATGACTCACGGCCGGATATCAGAACAGGTGAATGATTAGCCTGTTCTTCTAGCAGTAAGGTCTCTTACGGTATACCGACGCTGTGCATCTCTTGACTCAGGTGTCGAGCTTGAGTCTTTGGGCGTAATTGCCTGTCGATGTTCTGTCCACTTCTGTAGGGCTTCAGTAATGTCCGGGGAAACATGCTCGCGTAAATGCTGTGCGTGTTGTCCTGATCTATCTAGTCGATCTACATGTTCGACAGTCATGTCTTTTATAATAGTAGCTAACTGATTTTTAAGATCAGGGTATTTAGTAATTAGCTTACTTCTGTGCTTCGGCTTAGAAGTCTCGGACGTAGATTCGGTTTTGATACTTGAGCTTGCCTCCTCTTCTGGTTCCATAATAGGTTCCTTCTGAGATTTGTCCTTGTCCCCTATAATTGGGGACGCCTTCATAATTGGGGACTTTCCTTTCTGATTTTCGTCAGAAAAATGGGTTGGGGCGTCTTGAGACGTATCCCGTGTCTCACTTCTTGGCTTCGTTAATGCAAGCTTTGAAGTTGAGGCAATAGTTGGCCCTCAGGCTCTGTCAGTAGGAGTAGTCTCCTTAAACGGAGCGGCTACTTCCTTATCTGAAGCATTGTCCTTTTGACTATAATTGTCAGAGGCAAGTACTTTGGCTACAATACTCTTAAATGCATCAGCAGCGGCGTCGGTTGCTTTTGCAGCAGTAATAGCTGCGGCAACGCTAGCGACTTTTCTCACCATCTTCTTTTTTTCAGCTCTACGCTTCTTAGAAGGAGTGGTGTCTTTCTTGGGAAGCTTGTCTCTTAACGACTAGCTTAGACAAGAGAAAAAAATGTTGTGGTAGTTAACTTACCTTTACGCTCAAGTAGTCTAAGTAATTAATATTTTTGCTAACTTTAAAATGTGCAAGATTCGGTCTAATAAAGGCAATACTAATGCCTTAGAATAAATAAACGCGTAGGTAAATTCTAAATATCGTGTAAATATCGATATAAATAACCGAAATGAGACGTTTAATAAAGTTAGGTTTGCCTCGTGAAAACAGCAATACTCTGAGGGATTGTGAGGCTGAGACATTGCCTATATATAATCCTCTCAGTACTGTTTCCGCCGAAGGGATTTTATTTAGTGTTTCGTTGTCGCTCTATTCTGGGGCGAATCCGAGAGACTCATAAAATCCTATCTTTAGAAAAAATATAAAAATAAAAATAACTTGCCACTATCAAGAATTACCGACTTAGCCTTCATCAGACTGGCACAACTGGTTGGCTTATCGGAGGATCAACTAGGGAACGTTAATAGTCCCTAGAAACCTATATTCGGTTGAGCCATCTCGCTACCGAAGTATTCAGATATAAATAAAATTGGAAAGTAAATAAAGCTCTATGGTATTTTACTGAGGCCTTTTAATGGCCTCATACAAATATCTGATATGTTAAATAGAAAAGGTTTAATTAATAAAACCATTAAAAACCATTTTAGGAAACTTAAGTTCCTCGTGCTATTAAGAGCACATTTAGGAGACTTAAGTTCCTCGTACTATTAAGAGTACATTTAGGAAACTCAAGTTCCTCGTACTATCAGGAGTACGTTTATAATTTGCGTACTGCTTAAGAGTACGTTTATAACATAGAGACTAATGTGGAGGCCCGGCTTATTACAATACGAGTACTAACGATTCCATTACGTCATCGCAGATGCAGTACGTAAGAAGAACGTAAGTCATCTATGGCGCGTTTCATTCGCGCCTTATGTTTGCGGTTTATACGGTACACCCTTTTTATGGCACATGCCTGATACGAGTATTAACGATTCCATATCGACATCGCAGAACTCACTACCGTTATATCAGTGCACCTTATTCCTGGCCACCTGTACCTTCTCTTACCATAGTATCTCATGGTGATCTGGTTTGTCCTTGTTAAAGGGTATTTATAACTCACTATATTTGCCACGAAAATAGTGAGCGGGTGTTGTTCCTGTAACTGGATCAGCACACTCGTTCATCTACACACACACACACACGCACACCACACACATACACAGACACACACACAGACACACACACACACACAAACACACACACACACACACACAA